TGAGAAGGAGCCAATCTGAAATATAATGACAGGGCGATAATGAGCCGGTCGTCATATAGAGGCGATGGTCACCATCCAGGAATGGATAGCGAGCCCGATCGCTAGCTCAAAACTCTCGGCGCTGAGGAAACCGGTTTTGAGATAGATAATTACGCCAAGGCCGAGGGGCCGGGCGTGATGCAAGGACGATGGCGATGAGGAGCTGGTCCTATACCATGATGACGGGGCGATGATGAGCCGGTCGTCATAGTGGCGATGGTCACCATCCAGGAAGGGGTGGCGAGCCCGATCGCTAGCTCAAGACTCGGCGCTGAGGAAGTCGCTCTTGAGATAGATAATCACGCTGAGGTCGAGGGGCCGGGCGTGATGTGAGGACGACGGCGACAAGGGGCCGGTCCAAAAATCCATGCAACGGTCGTCATCCGGTAAAGGAATGACTAAGATCGGTCTCGAGATAAATAATCACGTCGAGGCCAAGGGGCCGATCGTGATATGAGGACGAAAGGCACTGAGGGGACGGTCCGAAGATCCATTCAACGGTCTCCATCCGTTAAAGGAATGACTAAGACCGGTCTCGAGATAAATAATCACATCGAGACCGATAGGCCGGTCGTGATGTTCGGATGGCGATGAGAAGGAGCCAATCTGAAATATGATGACGGGGCGATGATGAGCCGGCCGTCATATAGAGGCGATGGTCACCATCCAGGAAGGGATGGCGAGCCCAATCGCTAGCTCAAGACTCTCGGCACTGAGGAAGCCGGTCTTGAGATAGATAATCACACTGAGGCCGAGGGGTCGGTCGTGATGTCCGGATGGCGATGCTGAGAAGCCGATCTGATAATATGATGACGGGGCAATGATGAGCCAGCCGTCATATAGAGGCGATGGTCACCATCCAGGAAGGGATGACGAGCCCAATCGCTAGCTCAAGACTCTCGGCGCTGAGGACGCCGGTCTTGAGATAGATAATCACGCCGAGGCCGAGGGGCCGGTCGTGATGTCCGGATGGCGATGCTGAGAAGCCGATCCGATAATACGATGACGGGGCGATGATGAGCCGGCCGTCATATAGAGGCGATGGTCACCATCCAGGAAGGGATGGCGAGCCCAATCGCTCGTGATGTGATGAAGGGCAAGCTGATGATGCCGGACTGAACATGAAGGACGGCGGAGCCGATCCGATTATGGACTAGGCTTGGACACTCGTCTGAAGATGAGGGACGGCGTTGGGCGCTCGTCTGAGATGAGGGACGGCGCTGGGCGCTCGTCTGAGATGAGGGACGGCGCTGGGCGCTCGTCTGAGATGAGGGACGGCGTTGGGCGCTCATCTGAGATGAGGGACGACGCTGGGCCCTCGTCTGAGATGAGGGACGGCGCTGGGCGCTCGTCTGAGATGAGGGACGGCGTTGGGTGCTCGTCTAAGATGAGGGACGGCGTTGGGCGCTCGTCTGAGATGAGGGACGGCGCTGGGCGCTCGTCTGAGATGAGGGACGGCGCTGGGCGCTCGTCTGAGATGAGGGACGGCGCTGGGCGCTCGTCTGAGATGAGGGACGGCGCTGGGCGCTTGTCTGAGATGAGGGACGGCGTTGGGCGCTCGTCTGAGATGAGGGACTGCGCTGGACGCTCGTCTGAGATGTACTTAGCCAAATATGTGGCTTGATTTGTGGGGATTTTATTTTTTATCGCTCGAGGCCGGTGAGTGCGCGGTCCTCGGCTTCCCTCTTTTTTTTGGGGGGGGGGGGGGGGGGGGGGGATTTCGCTTAAGACCGGCTAGTGCGCAGCCCTTCGGCTTTCCCTCTTTTATTTCGATTCCCTATTTCGGGGGGTGTCCTTCTTTCAGGCTTCGGTCGAGGGGGTCGATAGTCCCTCGGCCGGTGGGGCGTCGTATAGATCGCCCTATGGTCTCGGGGAGGTCCCGTCGCCTATTTATGACACGGGCTAGGCTTTTGGTCGGTATCCGACGGCTGCCGTTTCCCAACCCCGAGTTTGGGGATTTTGTCACCTCGGCCATGATTTCAGACCGGTCGTCCTGCGATCTGGCGCGTGGTCGACGCGGTGAGCTTCCCATTTCAAGACGCGGCTGTTTGCGGGCCCCTCGTCCTGGGGACACCGTCAGCCATACCTGAGCGTCTCGCTCTAAGGAGCCGAAACGGTGTGCTCTCTCAGCTAGACCTGAGCCTTTCGCTCTAAGGGGGGCTGATACGAAATACAATGTTGAGCATACCTGAGCCTTTCGCTCTAAGGTTGCTGATACGATATGTGGTATCTTCTATTTACATTTCAAAAAATAAGCGGAATACAATAGGTGCGTTGTTCATGGCAACGGCTTTTGGGCGACACGATTAGCGTCTCGGAGAACGAGGTGTACCGTTTACCGCTCTTTGGCATAATGTCGTGTGCGGTCGGTAGCGACTCTCATTTTTAGATGTCCGAGTCACCAAATAAAGGTGACTAGGGTAGGTCGATGGGCCTAAATATAATCTGAATCATCAAATAAAGATGTTCGGTAGGCTAGAGCTCGGGTTCACCACTTTGGGGATTTTTGACCCGGTTTAATGGCGGTGATAAAAATAATAACGCCAATAATAATGCATCATTAGCGACATCGGGAAATTTTAACCCGTCATAATGGTCTTCACCACCTCGGGGGTTTTTAACCCGCCATAATGGTGGTGGAAATAATATAATTAATAATAGTAATAATTATACTACTATCACTTAATAAATATTTTAAGTGCATAAATAGGAGTATTGGGCACTTAGCTCATATATGGACTGAAGTATTGTGGGCTGATGAAGAAATTGTGCCGAAATATTGGACTGTTGTCGTAATCTAGCCCGTTGAGTTTCACTTGGCCCATCTGTCTTTAATCCTTACACGGCCAGTAGATGGGAAATTTCCTAGGGTAATTGTCTCGCCAGCAGATCCTCCTAAACCTTTAGATGACCATTGACCAGGCCAGCCCAACCATTCTCTGGTGTCGCCGGAAATGGAGGGAGGGAGAGGCGCAGAGCAACCTTCTGACAACCTCAGCTGCCATGCCTTGCTACTTGCTCGCGCACAGACCTCATTAATTCGAAACGCTGGAAACACCACTGGTACCGTGGCTAGTCGTCGCCTGAAAGTGAAGAAGATCCCACAAACTACTGCTTGGGTTGCTCCTAGCGGGGCCGCAGCTTGGGTCGCTTGGGAGCTTCGTCCGCTCATCAAAACGAATCCGTCTGATTGATAGGGTGTGTCGGGGCGTGAGTTGCGACCTGGAGCAACTGGTAGTGAGGTCCAGCGGGGTTGGATCTGGAATGGCGAGCACAGGACGATGATGACAGCTCCGGATCAGGGGAGACATTTTTGGAGCAGCTCTGGTCCAGCGGGGTTGGTGGCGAGATTTGGAGCACGGGAGCATCCAGGACGATGATGACAGCTCCGGCTCAGGGGGTATGGCGAGTTCCAGATGAAATATTCTATTGTGGCGGCTTGGCGGACGGCGGCGGCTGACGCCGGCACCTCCGGCATAGATCTAGCATATTCCAGATTCTTTTTTTTTTGCTGACAGTTTTTGCTCCATTTTTTTTCGAATGGAGTATAAATAGAGAAATAATGGGTCGGGCCGCTAATATGGGCCCGATAAGCCCAACTACATAAAAGGCTAATCTGGTATATACAAATGATATATGAACTCTACAATAATACAAATGATATAAATGATGTCCGATAAGCGTGTGTGGGCCGCTGTCCGGTCTCAATAGTCGTGAAACCCGGGGGTCCGAGTCTATATACTCCATCAATACGTCATAACTGTAAACATACACCAAGTTTGTGATCTACATATTGACCAAATCGAGGTTGCGTTATTAAAAAATTTAAAATGATGATAACACTGAATAAAAATATGCTTTAACACTCGACTTGCAGATAATGGATCATATTGTATAGTATCAGTATTGCGAAAACCTATTTTTATACTCCCTCCATCACATTTGACTTTGCCGATAATTTTTTGTTTGTTCAATCCTTTTAAAGTAATGAATTTATAATTCTCTTTATTTCTCATTTTTTTGCACAAATATTAATCACATTTTTTACTTTTCTTATTTCACACTCAAATCAAATATGGCAATGTCCAATGATAGAGGGGGAGCACACTTTATCCCCCTCTACACACCAAGTCACCAAGTATCTGCAAAGTGCAAACTAACATCCCAAAACTCATAACATATCATCCTAACTCATACTACCGATACCCCGTCTCCTTAAGATTGAGACAAAGAAGAGTCGTGTGATTTTTAAGAAAAGTAGAGTTATGTAATTGATAATGAATTGATAAAATGGTAACAAAGAATTAATTAAAACCACACAAATATTACCACATGATATGTGACAAATCTAGTGTGACAAACGGAAAATGAGTTAACTGAGCACATCCGGATGTACATTTGATTGAGCTAAATGAGTTGTTAGTACTCTTCAAATAATGTTTTATTTATATCCAAAAGAGCATGATATAAAATCAAAATGAGTAGAAATATCCATGTGTACATAGAAATGAACATTTTCAAATGCTAATGAGTAATGATTAAAATGCTTACAAAAATACCTGATGTAAAATTACATCTGTATAATGATATAATTTGCCATAAGTGAAATGCATCGATCATGTAAAACATGTTTTTGTAATCTATCGTTAATCCAATGATGCATCAATTGACTATAGGGTGGATTTCAACATTTCTTAATCTAGCAAGAACAAATCTATTTCATTAACTTTTTTTTGAAAGAAAATAACTTAATTATTGATAACGCATCTATTAAATTAAACTCTGGTTCTATACTTCTACCCATGGAAGAGTACTTTAAATTGTTTTTTACTTTTCTATTACACAAAGAATACCTTTCATCATTACACAAATAATACCTTTGAACTAAGGATTTTAATTAACTTTTACTTTTTCAAAATCACTTGCATTTTCCAACAATATCAACTTTTACTACTAAGCAGTTTTCATATAATTTTTTAAATAAATCACTTCCCAGAATTGCCAGAAATAGGCAAAAGTAGAAGGAAACACGAACATTCCTTTGAATAAACATAACATCGAATATATAGCCGCATTTGGAACCATCCATACCCATTAAGAGTTTAATATAATCGCATTTATTTAGACTTATTAAGAGTACAAAATATACAGAGGAAACTTCATGCTGACCTGTCTACATTACGGCTGGTGATATTTAAAACCCAAACATTATCATACCATTAGTAAAGTCATAGCCCCACAACTGTAATCAATAAGTATGTCAACTTATAGGAGTTATAGTCTCCCCACTCTTGAGATGCTATTGAATTTTAACACCAGACTGGAGGCCAGCTTGAACTTTGTTAGAGAAATGGGATTCCAACCTGCAATTTTAGAAGTTCAGATAAAATGGTCTTAGATATAAGATATAATAATCCGTACGAGATAGGACAAGCTAATGATGAAAGGGGTAGATGTTAAAATGCCTGGTTGCACATTTATAATAAATGGTTTCTGGGGAATTATAGGTGCGAGCATTGGTGAACATCCTCCTGACATCCGCAACGAACATGTCAAGTGTGACGTAGTATAGCTCCGACTCTACCCGCTTCGACAACATTTTCAAATCTACAAAATGGCCAGTAAGAGAAATATTAGTTGAGCTTCTAGATATGCATCCATCTTCGCCTCAATGCACATTATATTTGACTGATTTGTACAAAGAAGGCATGCTAAAAATTACTGTAACACCTTGTTGGCTTTCTCTTGTCGACTGAGGGTATGTTTGGATGTAGGATACTAGGATTGTGGAGTGTTTGGAGGGATTTGTTGATATCATGATTATAAACTTGAGATTTTGTAAAAATTGGAAGACATATTGGTGCTCATATAGCAAAGATACTCCAAATTTGGTGCATTCAAGCTGTGACTATTCCACCTCATCATAGCCATGAAGTTCAACCAAAAATATACCAAATATTTAGGTGTAAAGACAACAAAGATCCCAACAAAGCGCTATTTTTTTAACCCAACAAAATACTGTATGCTACATAAAATCTTGAAGATCACTTACAACAAGATGACATACATACAGAAGGATGGAATTATGGTTAAACAAAACAAACAAATAAATATAGGCTGTAAATGACTTAACACATCTACCATAAAGTGTAGAATAAAGTCCTATCTATGGGTACACCGACACCAGCATATCATACTTAGCTTGTAGAATGAGCCCCAAGCGTGTGCCAAAGTTTTGCATAGTAATCCTCCAAAAATAACTTTTTTAAAACCATCCATTGTATGAATGCGAGTGTGTGCATACGCAGTTACGGCACACATTATTTCGCAACAATGTAATGTAACACCTCATATGGTTTTGCGTGTATGAGATCTTAGGCTCCAATAAATGTTGGTCATGGATAGGGATATTGTAGGCATCAAATGCTTTAAGATGCCACACTTCCTACGTTCCCAAATAAAAAAAACATGAGTATTGAGCATACCCATTGGATCTTTGATGATATCGTAATAATCAGGGACTTCCCGTGCATCGACTGGATCCTTGAATGGCCAAGCATCAGGATGATCTTGCATAGCCTTTTCAAAACATAGAGCATTAGTAACAAGAGGCAATTAAATAATCAGTCTGTATAATGGCTAAAATTTTGGGGACTCTTATACGGAGTATATTTTGATCACTAATGCTCTTTTTGGGTATATTTTGATCAGTTTGGAGAGGACAAACTCCTCATTGTCCTAACGCAAATCTAAACATGTTATGGGTTCAAAACCTGACTCCGAACGACTGATGCAAACACCAAACCGTGATGGTTTTTATGTTCCGAGATTTGCGTTTGAGCTACAAATATTTGTTAAGACGGTTAATATTTTGGACAACACATTTCAGCCTCAACACCAACCAATTATCTCTTAAAAGCACTTTAACACTGCAATTCTCAAAACTAATTGTCAAAAGTGTTTTTCCCTATGAGGACATCCCATTAGGCATAAGACTACAAATAGAGCTGCAGAGGCTCTAGAACCTACAAGTACAGGACATCATCATCATAAATTGTGGAGGCATGAATAACCGCCTTGTTTGCTCTTCATAATAACCTCAACCAGATAAAGTATACAATCAATTGAACCCAGCTGAGGGACGATTGTTAGTCCAAATAACTCCATTACACTGGAGGAACCTTAACTGTTTTTTTCCCTAAAATATGACTAAATCTAATCTTATTTCCAAAAAGTGACTACTTTTGCATATGAACAAAAATGTGACTAACAAGGTAATAAATTTGGAAAAACATGATGTCACTCCCAGATTCTTATGTCACTGCCACAGTGCAACTTATCATTGTATCCGTCAGAAAATTTTTCCGACGACCTTTTTCGGCTAAAACTAAAAAAGAAAAAATTCGGGGAAAGTTCCCTGTGACCTTTTTCAGCTAACTTTCCGCACATTTTTTGACAGGGATCAACCTATTAGACTAATAAATAGAAGAGTTAGTTGTAGTTATATTTCTGTTTGAGCTAATAACTACCTTCCGTTAGTCTGTAATACTATAAATAGAATAAAGCTGAGAGAAAGGAGCAGGCTGTTTTAGACTTTGTCTTGGGACTGGGAAGATTGAGATTCTTCTCTCTTTGAGGGCTTCGGCCATTGGGGCTTCGGCCATTGTTACTGTTCTTGATTCAATAAAGCTTCTTGATAAATTTCTGTGAATTTCTCTGTTCCGGTGTTTAGTTCTAACATTGGTATCAGACCACGTTACTTCCTGGAGACGGAGAATCGGAATCATGGAGGATTTCTACATGACACCGCAAATGGAAAAGAGAATGGACAATCTGAATCGACAGATGAAGGAGACGAACGCTAGGTTGGAAAGCATTTTACGTGATTGTGAGCGTCTAAATTAGGGCTTGCACCGATCGAGGAACACCAAACCTCATCGGCGTTCTGATAAACAGAGTCCATCGCAGTCGCTCACCAAGAAGCAGAAGGAGTCGCGAACTGTTCGCACTCGCGAAAGGATTGGCGCGGAAAATTGGGGAAGCTCGCAGAAAAGGTTGAGAGCGGAAAAGTGGAGAAAGAGAAGCGTTCAACCCTAGATAAGGAAAAGCGCTCAAACCTGGAGAAGGAGAAGCGTGCGAAGAGCAAGGAAACGAGGACAGGGTTGGATGAAGTGCGCACCAAGCTGCTGCAACGTCACCGGTGAGGACGATCGAGGACTGTGCGTCGCTGCAGGAATTCGAAAAGCAAAGGCTCGTTGCAGTCACCAACGTCTTCTGGTCTACTGGCTTCCACGCGAGCAGAAGTCCCTAGTTCGCAGGTTTCTTCAACCGCCGGATCTCACAGCTCACCCTCGCTTGTCGTCTCTCACCTTGCGCCAGATTCATCTGCTTCCAGAAACTTTGACGTAGTCACATTAGGAGAGGGATTCCCAGGGACTCCACCAACAACAATTAATTCAGAATTGGAAACCAAGATGATGTGGTCGATTAAACGCGGCCATCAAATTGATGAATACCTTCAAGTCAAGATAAACCAAACTGGGAAGTCAATCCATGTTTTTTTTGGGAAGTCAATCCATATATCTCGAGGTATTTACCTGTGAAGGATTGATACTTGTAACCCTGCCATTGAGTGGTCAGTGAAGGTTCAACCAAGATTTCATGAAGAAGCCAGTAAATTAGAGGAAGTGATTTCCCTTGATGAAGGAATGAAGGATGTTGTGATACGCTAGAGGAGCAGAAGCTAAAGCCTTGCAAAGAGTATAAGAGTATTGTCCTGTTCCTTACAGCTATGGTCAGAAAAATACCAGGGAAATGAAGGGTTATTCTTTTCTCTTCATAGAAGTTTTTGTTTGGAAAACTCGCAAAGAATGCTGCTACATCAATTGGGATTCCAGGCTTCATGATTTCTCCAACCTGAATAACAACAGCAAAGATTGGATTTCTTTTAGACAAAGCAGACTTCCCTCATCGGACAGGCAACGATAGAACCACAGAATTATGGCTGATATACTTGGTATTTGGTAATGAAGGAGCTGAATTTGTATTCTCGTCCACAAAGTGTTGCTGGGTTTCTATGTTGCTTCATAATAGCAAAGATTGGGCCATTTTGAAAATAGTTTGGGTTCTTCCACTCTCTGTTTCAAAAAATCAGGTAAAAATGGATTCTCCTTTTGTGGAACATGCAGTGGCAGAGAGATTTTGGTGGAGTATTTCTATTGGAGTTGATCGGTGGAATGGTTTTGGGTGTACTCAAAGTGCAGCAGTGGATTACAGTGTTTTACTGAAAAGCATCATGACAGTAAAGCATAACTCAAAGGGAGAAGAGTCAAATGGAGTTGAAGCAATTTGTAATTCAAAAATTTCTGATGAGCAGGTTAAAAGGGATGAGAATCCTGATGTTCAGGACATGAATATAAATTCTGCCGCTGTTGTAAGGGATATACCTCAGGAAAGCAGGAAAATATTTGTGGCTATTGAGGGCCTGAAGACTAAGGAAGAGAAAGATACTTCACCAGAAACATTCTATGCTGCAGAAACATATGTGAGTTGTAAAGATCTAATACTGAAGCTCTTTGCTCAGAAACCAATACTGGGAAGGTAGAAGCGCCAGAATGAAAAGGAAGCGGAAGATCTTCGCTGTTCCCTATCGCCCACCTTGAGGGCAAGGTGGATGTTTGGGGGGGAAGTATTGATAGGGATCGACCTATTAGACTAATAAATAGAAGAGTTAGTTGTAGTTATATTTCAGTTTGAGCTAATAACTACCTTCCGTTGGTCTGTAATACTATAAATAGAATAAAGCTGAGAGAAAGGAGCAGGCTGTTTTAGATTTTGTCTTGGGACTGGGAAAATTGAGATTACTCTCTCTTTGGGGGCTTCAGCAATTGGGGGCTTCGGCCATTGTTACTGTTCTTGATTCAATAAAGCTTCTTGATAAATTTCTGTGAATTTCTCTGTTCTGATGTTTAGTTCTAACATTTTTTCAAAAAACTAGGAAAAAATCCGGCGAGATTTTCCGGCAGCAGTTTTCGCCGGCAGTTGTTGCTGGAGAAGGCAGTGGGGAAGGGGGCAGGGGGCAGGGGGCAGGGGTGGGTAGTTGGGTAGGAATTAGAATTAAAAGAAAAGTATATTAATACGGAGTAGAGGTAATGTTTTTGCCATTTTTCCAAATTTAATCTCTAAATAATGTGCAATGGGTATCACCCTAAATGTTCAAAATATTTATATGATTTATGACGGAAAGAACATTTTTGGGCACCTAAAATATCGCATTTATTAAGCAAAACCTATGAAATATAAAAATGGAAAAAGGATAAATGAGAATCTCAAGAGACGCACCTTTACAAGTGAGCGCATGAATGTTGCCAATAACTTCTGATCAGACAAGTTCATTGCTTTAAACCGCGAATAACCATATTGATCACTGGTCCACCCAGCCTCTCCTATTATAATGACAATATATGGAATTTTATCATGTCTCATAAGCTAAGCAAGTCCTGGGCATGCAGTCAATCCAAATCACAGTGAGCCAGATACATCACATGTTGGGGAATGCAATGCACTTACTTAAACCAGCTATGTCTTCAACCTTAAAGGCTTTTCTGGGAATACCTGCTTCCTTCTGAAACACCCAGTTAATACATGCAAATTATAACCATAAATTAGATGTTACTTCCTTTCACTTTGTTAATACTATAATCAATCACAGCCATAAAGAAAACAGACACTTTCAGTCCCTAAAGTAAGATATTGCACAGCCTTAGTCCTTTATCACTGTTAACATATATAACCCTACTAACCTACTGTTGCATCTAGATGACAGTATGACACTTTCACCTCAGTAGCTAATGGTTTCTCTTTCACAATAGTTCCTTTTCTTTTTTACACAACTCCAAATTTAATAAGAAACATTTCAATATAATAGGAGTAGTGGAATCCAAATGAGCTCTAAGGCCGAAATATACTGGCCTTATGGAGTGAAACAAAACATTCAAATTCTGATGAAGAAAAAATTGAAGAGCATTAAGATTGATGTGTGGTATAATTAGAGACACGGTTTTGCAATGAGAACAGAGCAAAAGTGAGAATAGTGGCTGATGATGATAAGCAAAACAAAAACTGGTTTCATATGGTTGAGGATATTTGTTGTCAAAAGTAGGTGCTGCATTAGGGATACTAGAGTGTTGAAACACTGAAGATCTAAAAAGAAGACATGGAAGATTGGAAATGCTTTACTCCATGAACTAAGGATGCAAACAGGTACGTTATGACATTGGGACTTCAGCCTTCATTAACATGTGATACTTGGCAGAAAGAGTGGAACATTAGGATACTTGTGGATGACCCGTGAGAATATCCCATGTTGTATATGGTGGAATGCATTAGTTACAGATTGATATTGCTGTAGAATTTGGATCCTAAGATTTCCCACTAACATTTTACTTCAGTACACGTAAAAATCATATTACCCAAAATGATCTTTTAAACATATGCCCCATTGCGCCAAAGAGTTAAAAGGCTATCCGAATTTATAGAAAACTTATGCTCCAATAAACCAAATTGATATTTCATTTTTCTCATTGACATTTTTTTCAAACAGCAAAAGTAGTACTTGTAACAAAAAAAATGGACAAAACAGCAAAAGAGTAATATAAAAGTTGATTGTCTTCAATAAGGCAATTCGTGGGAAAGAGATGCTCAAGAGTAACTACATGTTCATTTAAGGCATAAAACACCATTTAGGAATTAGGACAAACATTCCCTCCCCCCCTAGGGTTCACCCCCCCCCCCCCCCCCCATTGAAGGCTTGAAAGCATAGAACAGTAGTACTACTCTGTTCAAAGAAAATTAGCTAGATATTACCCTAAGATTTACCCGGTCCAAACAATTCACAAATGAGCAGTAATAAATTGTTTAGTAACATAGATTTTTACGGAGATACTAATCTTGGAGGCATACACATACCTTCTGAAAATCCATTCCTTGGTAGATAATATGACAATTTGAAAGTTCTCGTATCTTTTCATCAATTGCCTAGCATCAACAAATACTGTACAGAAGTGAATCATAATAACCATTGCTTTAATTGAGAACAAGTAGGCTGGTAATATTTCTTATAGAAGAAAGGTTGTTTCTAGACTGCAAAACCATAAAGATCAGTTTTACCTGTCTCTGACGGCGTATCATGGTTGATAAATTAGTATACGGAAGCTTTGGATCAATTTTGCATTCCATAAGGATCCCCCCATCATAATCCTTAATGTACCTACAGAATTAGGAATTGATAGAAACAGATGAGCAATAGACTGGAAAGCAGCAGCATCTTCATATCACTTTAAATTAGATAAAGCTTAATTTTACTTTAAAATGAGAAATATCTAAATGGTATAGGTTAAACAAAACTTGGGAAAACATACCCCTGCCAACGTTCCTTCTCCAAATAAATCTCCTTTGTAAATCCCTAAAATATAAAAAGAAGTTAAGAATCTACTTTCAGATTACAACTCACATAGTCATATATGTATAGAGTGAACACCAAATCAAGAAGACAAGATAGAGGGAAGGGGAGAGAGAGAGACTAGCCTCGTGAGGAATCAGTCCCTAACTTGCAAAACAATATCAAGGAAAATTCTTAATGAAAACATATGGAGCATGATTCAACGTTGACATGTATAGTCATAAAAGGGTTATTAAGGTACTGCCAATCTGAGATTTTTTTAGTGTTGCTGACCAAGATAGTTTTAGCTTTAAACTTTGGCTTGTCACACATAGTATGATGCATGATACCTTGTAAGATTGTGGAAAGAGTAAAAGAGCAATCAACTAGAAGATTGAGGTCTGAGGAGTGTGATAGCTGATTGATTTGCTCAAAAATATGTTTGAGTGATACTATTTTAATTTGATTTAGATACCTTTGTTACCTTAAGTATTTCTATGCATGCTGTTATATGAAGGTGGGGCCTGTGCTTTTGGTGCTCGACAGCCAGTGGCTGGTAGACGAGGCAGCCTGGTGATGGGGGTCAGCAGTGCTGGCAGGCACCGTCTGCACCTGTCTGGTGGAGATGGCACCTGGATGGCAACCAGGGGCGGAGCCAGGATGTAATTTAGGGGGGGGGGGGGGGGGGGGGGGTGTTGATGTGTTTTAGATTTATACTTTGTTGATTCTGATATAATATATTTTTTGTGATGAAATAATTACATATTTACGCCTCTAAAATAGGGCGGGCATTGTGGATTTTTTTATTAACATCTCATATAAAAATTTGGGAGATAATTAAAGGGTTTTTTTTCAAAAATATTACTAAAACAATACTTATTTACACAAATATGAGTAGTAGTTACTACAATGTATTATGTAATTATTTAGTCAAAAATATGTAATTATTTCATAATTAAAGTATTAATACTACGTACCAAAATTAACAAATTATTTTAGTCATAAAAATATGTAATTATTTCATAATTAAAGTATTATATGCTAGCATATCAACAACATCCAAGCCTTAGTCCCAAAAGATATTGGGGTCGGCTAACATGAATCGATACATGATATCACAACCAAAAGGAAAAGAAGGAATAAAGATAAAAAGATGAGCTATTATGAAAAGATAATATAAAAAAAGATGAATATATATAAAAAATGATAAAATAAAAAGGCTGCAAATAATGCTTATATATATAAGGATAAAAAAACTAGGAAAAAAAAAGATGAGGGAAAAAGATTATCAAGATCACTCATTCACGTGAATACCCGCCCTCCACTTAGTTCTCTCCAAAGTCATGCCCTCATCCAACCCCAGAAGAAGCATATCACTTCGAACTCCCCTAACCCACGTCAAAATATTTTACAAGATAAAGTCTAGTGAAATAAAAAAAATCGTTGAGGGACCAAAGCCTCCATGACACCCCTACTAATTATTCAACCTATTATTATACTAAGTACTCGATCATTAAACTCCATTCCCAGCAATGTTAAATGACGCCAGATGTCACCAAAAACTCCATTCACTGCTCGGCTTTTCTCAGTTTTGTGGCCATTTCGATTTGAATTAAGCCTTATGTATAAAATCCTTACTAGTAGTGCAAAAAAAAATGTTGGGGGGGGGGGCAAGGCCCCCTATTCCTAGGGATAGCTCTGTCCCTGATGGCAACGATGGCAAGTGGCTTGCAGAGGTTGTGTGACATTTGAGATACATGTTGAAGGGTAGGACAGTAATTACAAAAGAACATAAAATAATGTTTTCACATGGGTGAGCACCACTTTAAGCAGTTGCTATGCTTAGAAAGCATGTTTACTGTAGCGATATTAGTTTCCTAAAGTATATCTGGTAGCAAAGAGAGCACATAGCAAGAGTTATCATAGATTAGAAATATTCATACACCCAAGTGGAAATTATGCTAAAATCAACTTCAAGAAATCCTAACAAATAGAAGTACAAGTACCAAATAAGAATACAGATATTGCAGATTTACAGCACCTGTTTGACAAAGTAACCAACAGCATTGTTATCAGCATATGTGAGAAAGTGGGTCAGCCCATCATCATCACGTGCAAACTGTTTTAAGTGGTTCATAAGTCTGGTGCCATAGCCCTTAACTTGTTCATCTGCAGTAATAGCACAGAAAGCTATTTCCCCAAACTTCTGGCTAGAGCATCCAAATAAAACAACCAGTCAAAAAAAATTAGCAGCGACCATAGAAAAAATAGCAAATATCTTGACGAGAGAAACATATTTAAATTTAGGGGTCAATAAACAATCTGGTAATGAATAATAAAATAGATATTAGGCTCAGGCTCTTCCAAGTTTCATGTCCCCATTTGTTACCCTTTTGAGGGACATACTACAAATTTTATGGATTTAGAAATTGAAGTACAAGTTAAATTAATTATTTCTACAATTCTGCAGTTATAGAATAATGAACTCTAGATGACAGAAAAGCTCTGTGGAGACTGAAAGCGCAATATTTCATTGATTGTAAAGAAAAAACAGTATACCTTAAGTAAGGGCGGTATGTTATCCCACCAACCACTTGGTATGTTGTGCCACCAACAGCTTGATTACGTCTAATGACCATTACAGATTTATGGTTTCTGCATCAGATGTTTATAATAAAAGCAAGAATGTATTAAGAACAGGATGCCAAAAACATAAGTAAACTATTATGCTCTGAGGTGTGAACATGGAAAGCATACATGCACCAATCAACATCTTCTAAACTATGACAGGGCATGATGTAGTCACGGCTGAGTGAAATAGACCATCATCATTACCCCAATGCCGCAAAGGCTCCCACCTATGGTGGGGTAAGGAGGTTGGATGTACGCAGCCTTACCCCTGTACTAGAGCACAGAGAGACTGTTTACGGATGACCCAAAGTGAAAATTGCGTTGAAAATTGCATGAACTGACTGCTGCTTCATAACAAAGAAGCGCGGACAGTTTAGTGAGTCATTTTGCTTTATTCCATCGTGCTCCCAAGCCAAAAAATAGTGAGTCTTTGGCTCCATTGCAAGTAAATAAATAGATAAATAAATAAATACAAAAACATTCCTACAAAAAACTTAAAGTCGACTAACATGAATCGACATATGATATAACAAAGAAAAACAATAAATAGAAAAAAGGGAGACAAACAGAATTAGATCATTGATCCACACCTAGACTCTCTCAACTTTGCCCTCCCATACTCTCATGTAACCCAAGAGGCACCATAACATTCTTGACCACTCTAATCCATGTCTTTCTAGGTCGACCCTCACTCCCCGCCTCATCTCCCCCACCTCTCAATTCCTATTTGTCTCATTTCTAAGCAGATTTTTCTATTATGCCCACACATCCAACACAACATGTGTATCAACCACACGCATCTTTTGAATGAGACATTGTTTCAGCACCAAACACTCTATGTCATAGAATAATGCAGACCTAATTGTTGTTCTATAACATTTAGCCTTCAGCCTAATCAGCATAACTCGATCACATGAAAACAATATGTTCAGAATACTTGAAGATTTTATTCTGGAAAAATCAGAAGCACTGAGCACACAACTCACAACTGAGAACCAACTATCCACATTCTAAAAACATTGATGATGAAATGGATGCAGAATTTTAAAAACATTGAGAAATATTCATCCATACCTGTCCATTACAAGACGGACAATGTAATCCCTGGGCATGTTAGGTAATTGTCTGGCAAATATGTTCTTTAATCCTATCAACCTGAAGAAAGCCAATATAATTCCCTATTTAGGCAAGTGGACTTTTCAATACTTTGTGTTACTTTACTATCCTTCTTGTTTAACAATTCAAGCAATTCATGTTAGTCTTAGACTAAATCAAAAGTGAAAGTATATAAAAAAAAGATTGGAAAAGCCAAGTACCAAATCATGTGGTCATCGACACCATCATTTGAAACACATACAAACTTGAGTCTTCCTGCTTCCTCCTGTAAATTCTAAAAATTACTGCCGGAAATAGCTACAGTGGTTTAAAGGGAAAAAACTGTACATCAGTACACCACAGAACAGTTATGGGGAATATATTTGAAACAGTTTATCCAGGTATAATCGGAGCTAAGAATGGAAACTACCTTAACTGTGGCCAAACTTTTCATATCGTATAAAAACACAGTAAGAATAATGGCATACTCCCTCCATCCCATATAATTTTATCATCTTTGCTTTTTTGCTTGTCCCGAAAACTTTGCCACTTGCCCTTTTAACCAATTAATTTATGGTTCTTATCATTTCTCTCTCCTCTACACAAACCTCAGTCACACTGGTTTTTACTCTCTCCAAACGGAGGGAGTAATAAACTATGCATCATACATTCTCAATTTCACTTATCCAGCACAGTACCACGCATTGATTGATAAGAAATACCTCTTCTGATGACTGCATATTCGCTCAAGTACCCAGGTCTGTTACTGTTCAGCGATTGATATGGTATCGGTTTTACAGTTTTACGATTTAGCTTAAAGCATGGGAATGCAGATTCAAATTACAATCAAATAATGTCAATTATGGTGTTAATACTGCCACTGAATGTTTGGAAAATCCAAAATATGGCAGTATGATTTCAGTATGATAGTACTTGCTCCTATTTTGGGAAAAAAATACTCCTTTTTTGGAATTTCACACTGTTTTTATTCCTATTTCAAGAAATCTCCCTCTACACATTGTTCTAGGCTAGTAATGACTTCTTCGCATGGGGTCTAGGAAGTTTAAGTGATGGAAGGGGAGGGAACAATAGTAGTCCTGCTTGAGGAGAGATAAGAAAAATAAAATCAGGTGAAGGAAGTGTAAAGGAGTACATGACCCCCCTTCCTACACTTGTTCCTATTTATTGGCGAACACTCCAATTCAGGGTATAGGAAGGTGGAATGAGGCAATAACTTAAAAAAATAGTTGTATCATGCACTGTCTGCTTCCACTAGTCATCACATCCTCCACTCTTGACAATCACCATCACCACTACACCAGTTTCTTTTTTAAACTAGTTACTTCCCCTTCCTCTTCATTTCCCATTTTATTATATCCAGAAAGAAGAAAATTTAAAAATTCAAATCTACTCTCTTGTCCATTCCATTTCTATTTTCTAGTACTTTCTCTTTCATACTCTTCACTAATTACACTCCCTTAAACCCCACCAAATAGACTGACATAGGCTTAGGTTGATGGCTAGAAAAATCTAAACCTTTAGTATCCATATAGCTTAGTACTACATAGTTAGTAACTTAATAAGTTAAGGTAGCAAAGCGGGATTGTAGACAAATCCTGTAGCACAAGTCAGTGACTTTATGCAGAGAATTTCAGATACTCCCAGGTCCCCATCACTCTGTGATGTACCAAATTGTTGGGGGGGGGGGGGGGGGGGGGGGGGGGGGATAGGCACGACAAAAAAAACATACGCTGTCCTTGGCAATGTCAAAATTCACTAGAAATCGAAACACTTGAAAAAACTAGTAAATTATTGATAATTGAAGAACAGGAAAACAAAGAAAAGTAGTTGGAAAATAATGTATTACCTCTCTCTTCAAACTCTCTTCCCTTGCAATATAGGCTCCACTAGTCTGTAAGTTTTCAGTAAAAATATTCCTCATTGCTTCATCCTTCACCACAACTCCTGAAACAGATCCACCAGCTGGTGCAGCCACGGAATTCCCTGAACCCCCACTCACTGTGTCTTTCACCACCTGATTGGGCTCAACTTTTACAGAATTATCTGCCTTGAGTTTCGTATTCCTAACTAGTGGCGCCCCACTGTTCTCCAATCTTGAGGCCGTGAAGGTGCGCATTGAGGATTCGTCATACTCCTCGTCGTCATCGGCAACCTCCTCGGACTCATCTTCGGAGTCTGAGTCAGCACCCCGTGCGCTGATGCTCTCCAGGTCATCGTTCGATGTCAGGGCACCGTCACGCGTGTCAGAGAATGAGGAGGGAAACGGAGGCGCGTGGTCTTCAGACGCCAGCTTGCGCTTGTGAATAGATGATGTCGCTGAGGCCGACGCAGAATGCGACGGCGACGGAGACTGTGAGCTCCGAGACCGGACTGGTGCTATCAGGTGGGAAGAGTGCGTGTCCATACCAACTGGCCTTCCCAATTCGATTCTATCCAATCCTTGAAATCCAAATTTTTGTTTTTGACAACAAACAAATTAGCTCGTACTCAGTTCTAAATTATCTTTCAAAATTGAAAATTGTGAGGTGAAAAGTATAATGATGGAGTATATAGCTCAGGGACCCCCAGCCCACATACTTCCTCTACTACAATCAGGCTCAACAGGCCCAAACGGACCAAGCCCAGCAAAATGGAGCTCTGAGCAGCCCACAATACGCAAAGGGGTGCCTTCGGCCCTATGGCCGAAGGCTACCAGTGACGGAATCGAGCTCAGAAACATCACAGGAGAACAAGGCTTGAAAACCAAGCCTTCGGCACCTGTAGCCCTCGGCATGTAGGAGCCCTCAGTTAGAAGAGGCATCACAGGAGAACAAGGCTTGAAAACCAAGCCTTTGGCACCTGTAGCCCTCGGCAGGTAGGAGCCCTCGGTTAGAAGAGGCATCACAGGAGAACAAGGCTTGAAAACCAAGCCTTCGGCACCTGCAGCCCTCGGCAGGTAGGAGCCCTCGGTTAGAAGAGCCTTCGGCCCAGCACCCTTCAGCCTAAGGCATCCACCTCGACAGAATATCCTCTTCACATGCGCCTGGATCACCGTACCAAGTACAAACGTCACATCCAACCACCGCATTTAATGCGGCCACATGCGAGTGCCAGTGCCACCCCGGTCGAGGTGACCCCTCGACCACCAGAAAACTGACACGTGTCCTTATCTAGCATGTATTACTACTATAAATAGCACCCCTTTCCCCCATTGTAAACCACGCTCAATACATATCGAATATACACTCTCTCACTCTCTTACTTATTTGCTCTGACTTCTCTCTAAGTTATTCTCAGCAATAACCTCTCGGATATATACCCCCCGGGTAGACTATCCATCATTTGGTGCTCTCGTTGAGAGGTCGAACGATCAAGTAAGAAACCCTCCCCCTTCGCCAAACACTAGCCCTCTGCCAAAATGGTGAGAACAACACGTGCCAACTCCAAAAACGTAGAAGACAAGAACCTGGCCCTCGGCGACGTCAACGCTCCCGAAGCCTCTCACAAGGCTCCCGAGGGCGGTGTCATCGCTGGGCTGGAACAGGCGGCTGTCGACCTACGCCTTCAGATCCAGCAGAATGCCCCCGATGCCCGCCTCGGCATTGAGGCCAAGAAGAAAAACCGGAGCGATGACCAAGTCAGCCCTCCGGTCCTCACCATCGACGTTCATTCGGCACTCTCCGCCTTCATCCAGACGCTAACTCAGAACCCGGGTGCCTTCAGAACCCGGGTGCCTTCGGCACCCTGGCTCCGGCTCAACCCCAGGTTGGGGAGAACATCGTACTTCCCCCTCTGCCACACCCCTTCGGAAACCCCATCCCTCGGGTTAGGAATGACGAAGGGGTAGTGGCCCAAGACACGGCCTCCCAGGAAGTTCAGTCCCGGGACCGCCACAATGACAACAGAGAAAGGCCCCGCACTTCCGCCCTCAACCGGCTCGGAGGGGGGCAAGACCGCCGAGGGCCCCAAGAAAGCGGAGGGTCTGTCTCGAGGGCAGACGAGGAGCGTCCCCCTCGGGACAAAGGCAAGGCACCCCTTCATGCCGACGATGCTCGCCACCAGATCAACCAGGCCCACTCGGCCCGGGTTCGTTCGCAGGGGGTGGAGACCCTCCCGAAGGACCCCACGAAATTATTGCGGCCCTCCAACGCCGACTTGATGAAATGGAGGCCGATAAAGCTCACGCCACCACCTCCACCCCTCATTCAGACCTCAAATACGAGGCCATGATGGCCAAAATGGAGGCATTACAGAAGAAGGTAGCCGAGGGCTCCGGGGAACCCATCATCCAGCTCCGGACCCGGACGCCATTCACCCCGAGGGTATTGGCGGCCCAAATCCCGGAAAAGTACCGAGGGCAACTCATCAAGCCCTATGAAGGAAAAACTGACCCCCAGGAACACTACAACAGGTATCAAAACAGCATGATGATGATGGGGGCATTAGATGAATACTTATGTCGCTGGTTCCTTTCCACCTTGGAGGGACCAGCATACGAATGGTTCAATCGATTGCCCGAGGGCAGCATTGATTCTTGGCAAGATCTTGCCCAATGCTTCCTCACCCATTTTGCCGGAAGGAAGCGCGCGAGAAAGCACTTCTCCCAGCTCCTCTCCGTCAAGCAACAGCCTGACGAAACACTTCGGTCCTTCATTGACCGGTGGATGAAGGAGACAGACGAGGTCGAGGGCGCCGACGAGCGTACCCTCCTCGTCCTCTTCCAGGGGGTTCTCCGCAGCAGCCCCTACGCACGGAGCCTCATCACCGACCCCCCAAGATCATACCTCAGAGCACTCCAGCGGGGGAGCCTATACGCTGACGCCGACGACCTCCACTCCTTCAAGAAGAACGAGGCCCCAAATGTGCCCTCGGCCGGAGGCCGAGACCATGGAAGCCACACCCAGCAGGGCCGTAACGAACGCCAATGGCGCCCTCGGCTGGACATGCCGAGGACTCCCCTCACGCACCCGGTGAGCACTATCCTCAACTATGCAGAAGAGCAGGACCTTTTCCCCAAGGACCCTCGGTCGGCGAGGGAGATCTACGCCATCCACCAAGGCGGCACTTATTGCCGTTACCACAAAAGCACCTCCCACAATACAGACGATTGTGTCTCGTTAAAGAAGGCTATTGAACTCTTAATTCAACGGGGTGAGCTCCACCAATTCATCAAAAATGCCTCAAGGAAAAACACCGGGGAGAACACCAATAAAGAAGAAGGGGACATCGCAACAAAGAAACATGAAATCGGGAGGCTCAGTGACGGAGAGGAGTTCGAGGAGCCCCAGCCGAAGAAGCGCCACCTCCGCTAATCATGTTCCTCACCTTCAGCGTTAGTCTCAGCCTTGGGCCCTCGACCTCGAGGCACATTACCATCCCCTCGGCCTAGAGCCCTCGGCCTAGAGCGGTGAATCTTAACAAAGCCGTTGTCAAACAACGCACCCCTTGTATTCCGCTTATTTCTATGAATTTAAGTAAACTACAACACAATCCAGACATCTTATCGGCCCCTTCGAGGCCTAATGCCCAGGTATGGCCGATGGTTTCTAAAGACGAGGGGCCTGCAAAAGGCCCGCGTTTTTGGAGCGGGACGCTCGCCGCGTCGCCGGCGCGCAACGCACGGCGACAGGCCTGAAAGAATGGCTGAGGTGACGAAATCCCCAAACTTGGGGGTGAAACGGCAGTCGTCGGAAACCGACCAAGCCTAGCCCGCACCGTAAATAGACGACGGGACCCCCCAAGGTCAAGGGACGGTTCAGCGCCGGGGGACTAACAGACGAACCCCCGGACGGATCACTTGGACCCCCTTCCGGCAGAGGCGGGGAAGCAACCCCCTCGGCCGAAGCCTAGAAGAAGGAACACACATCAGGAGGACTAACATACGACCTCCTGGCACAATCAAGGGACGGCCCAGCGCCGGGGGACTAACAGACGAACCCCCGGACGGATCACTTGGACCTCCTTTCGCCCGAGGCAGGGAATCAACCCCTCGGCCGAAGCCTAGAAGAAGGAACACACATCAGGAGGACTAACATACGACCTCCCGGCACAATCAAGGGACGGCCCAGCGCCGGGGGACTAACAGACGAACCCCCGGACGGATCACTTGGACCTCCTTTCGGCCGAGGCGGGGAATCAACCCCTCGGTCGATGCCTGAAAGAAGGAACGTACACCCAGAGGACTCCTGGAACTATCAAAGAACGGCCCTCGGCCTCAACATGATTCCACATCACAATGGCCCTCGGCCTCAACATCAGACGGCCCTCGGCCTCAACATCAACAACGTCCCTCGACCTTAGCATCACAACGGCCCTCGGCCTCAACATTAGAACGGCCCTCGACCTCAGCGTGAGGACATCACAATGGCCCTCGGCCTCAACATCAGACGGCCCTCGACCTCAACATGACTCTATGTCATAACGGTTTTGGCCTTAGCGTGATCTCACATCACCAACGGCCCTCGGCCTCAGCGTGATCCCACATCACAACGGCCCTCCGCCTCAACATCAGGACGACCCTCGGCCTCAACATCACCAAACGGCCCTCGGCCTCAACATGATTCCACATCATAATGGCCCTCGGCCTCAACATCAGACGGCCCTCGGCCTCAACATCAACAACGTCCCTCGACCTCAGCATCAGAACGGCCCTCGGCCTCAACATCAACAACGGCCCTCGGCCTCAGCGTGAGGACATCACAATGGCCCTCGGCCTCAACATCAACAACGGCCCTCGGCCTCAACATCAGAACGGCCCTCGGTCGCAAAATCAACAACGGCCCTCGGTCGCAAAATCAACAACGGCCCTCGGCCTCAACATTAGGACGGCCCTCGGCCTCAACATCACCAAAAGCCCTCGGCCTCAACGTGATTCAACATCAACAACGGCCCTCGGCCTCAGCGTGATCCCACATCACAACGGCCCTCGGCCTCAGCATCAGAACGGCCCTCGGCCTCAACATCAACAACGGCCCTCGGCCTCAGCGTGAGGACATAACAATGGCCCTCGGCCTCAACATCAGACGACCCTTGCCCTCAACATGACTCTATGTCATAACGGTTTTGGCCTTAGCGTGATCTCACATCACCAACGGCCCTCGACCTCAGCATGATTCCACATCACAATGGCCATCGGCCTCAACATCAGACGGCCCTCGGCCTCAACATCAACAACGTCCCTCGACCTTAGCATCAGAACGACCCTCGGCCTCAACATCAACAACGGCCCTCGGCCTCAGCGTGAGGACATCACAATGGCCCTCGGCCTCAACATCAGACGGCCCTCGGCCTCAAGATGACTCTATGTCATAACGGTTTTGGCCTTAGCGTGATCTCACATCACCAACGGCCCTCGGCCTCAGTGTGATCCCACATCACAACGGCCCTCCGCCTCAACATCAGGACGACCCTCGGCCTCAACATCACCAACGGCCCTCGGCCTCAACATGATTCCACATCACAATGGCCCTCGGCCTCAACATCAGACGGCCCTCGGCCTCAACATCAACAACGTCCCTCGACCTCAGCATCAG